GTGAATCAGTACTGACAGAAGACTCCGCTCGGTCCTGGGGTGAGTCACCCAGAAGGGGGCGCCCCACACCCGCCCCTTGCGCCCGCGGTCCGCCGGGGAGCCGAGCCGGGGGCGCGGCCGCCCTACCGTGCTGATCCCTGCGCCGGTGTAGACCACCAGGTACTTGGCGTTTCGGACAGCGCCGGCCAGCTCCCGGACTTTCCTCCGCAGCTCCTCCGGGTCGTCGCACACCTGCCGAGACGCCGAGGCCGGTCCTAAGCTCCGCCCCCGCCCCCGCACGGCGAGAGGCCCGGCCCCGGCGGTCCGCGGACCGAGCCCCGCACCGACCGAGCCCTGCGCGCGCCGCAAGACTCGCCTCCTGCTGCCGCCGCTTCAGGCCCTCGCGCCGCCTGCTCCGGCCCTGCAGCTCGGTCACCAGGTCCTCGCTCTCGGCCAGGAGCCGGCCCTCCTCGGCGCTGCGCTCGGCCGCCGCTTTCCTCAGGATGCGCGACACCTGCGGGCGCGGGGCGGGCGGTGAGGGCCGCGCGGGCCGGGGGCGCGGCGCGGGGCGGGCGGCGGCGTACCTGGCGGAGGCGCTCCCGCTGCTGCTCCTCCCGCAGCCTCCGGACCCGCTCCGCCGCCTTGCGCTCCGAGCGGCTGGGACCCCCGGCTGCCATCGCTCCCGGGAGATCCGCGCTTCCGCTTCCGCCTCCCGGCAGGCCGCGCAGTAGCGCATGCGCGCGAGGCCCGCCCCGCCCTTCCGGCCCCGCCTGCGCAGCGCGCAAAGGAAGCACCTGACAGTCTCTTTAAAAGGTGTTTATTGATCATATACAAAATAAAGAAAACCTTATATATCACAAACATACACTATGTACAGCAATAAATACCCGGGGTCCGGCCCAGTGCCGCCCCCTGGACAATAATTTAGCAATAAATACTGCACAGGGCAGGGTGGGCACTGAGGCCGAGGCCCGCCCCAGGGAGGCCCCTCCTCACCTGGATCTTCATCAACCCCTGCCAGCCCTGGCAGGTCCCAGGGAACCCCCACATCCCCCTGGTTTCAGCCCTAGGCAGGACAGGCAGGGTCTGATCAACTCTGCTTGGACCCAGCCTCTCAGCGCCAGGAGAGCACCAGAGCTGGACACACTGGACAGCCCTTGTCCTGTTGCCCTAAGATGCCAGGAGAAGGCTTTCTGTACCCACTCCCGTTTGGTTAAAGGCTTCAGGGAGTAGCAAACTGAGGGGATGGGGAGAAGGGAGGGGCTGGGACACAAGGTTGCTGGAGGAGCTGTCCCCTCGCAGTTCATCGGGGGCACACTCTCCTACACTCCAGCTCGGGCTCGCCAGACACCCACGCACCAAGGCGCTGCTCCAGCGTGGGGTGGAAACGTGCGTGACTGGCCCAAAGGTACAGCACACGCTCAAAACACACAGGCCGGAAGCGGGACAGGCCATACCCCTGCCTCTGTGTGTCTTCCACTTCTCCCCACCTGCTCCCAAACTAGACAGCCAACAGGAACGCAGTAACGCGCCAAAAAGAATTAGTCAGTGGCTTCTGGGGGTAAAAAAATCGTTACTGTGTTGGTTCCTTTCACCAAACCACAGCCTAAAAAAGTAACTTACAAGATCCCGGAGCGGAAATGGTGCTGCAGAGGCTGTGGCTTGGGCTTCCCAGCTGTGGACGGGAGCTTTAGCCAACTGGCCACCTCAGAGAGGGAGGCAACAGGGAAAGGAGGGGGCTTGACCACCTGTCCCAAAGCAGGCTGCACCCGATCAGAGCCATGGGCTCAGGCACCGACCACAGGGGCTGCTGCTGATGGTCAGAGTTGCGCACACAGACCAGAAGCGCGGACCAAGAGCAGAAGAGCCTCCAGGGGAGACCTGGCATCCGGCAGAAACCAGCACCCCACACAGCTGAGCAGCCGTGTCTTCTCACCTGTACAAACAGCACTGCCACCCAGAGTGGCAGCAGCCCAGGCCTCGGCGAAGTCTCCCTGGGGTCATACTCAGGGCAGGAGCTGACCTGCTCCCACAGAGTTCTCCTCTGAAATCGGAGTGTCCGTGTCGGGATAAGGGAGGAGTGAGGGCAGGGCGAGATGGGAAGGAAGGTGCACACGGTTTACTTAGCGGGCAAGTTTGGGAGACTTGGCTTCAGCCAAAGCCCTCGATTTGCTGTGTCAGAAAAGTCGAGGAGAAAAAGAACACAACACCCTCACACTAGGAAAACTGAATTAACAAGAATCAGAAAGACACCAAACCAGTCACGTGTGGACACAGGCTCTACTGTCAAGAAACCAAGGTGAAGGGGGAAAGGGGCAGAGTGCAGAGCGGCCCCACGGGGCCGGCTTGATGGGAACGGGATGTTCCCCCAAACCCAAGGAACGGCTGCTCCAAATCCAAAGACCTTGAAAGGAAGCATGGCCTCACTAACTCCAGAAGCTTCTTCTATTACCTAAACCAGACCTGCAATTTCTCTCCTACCTGTGCCCACCCTCCAACTCGCCTCTCACCTTCCAAACCTGCCTCCTTCCTCTGCTCTCCAGGTCTCCAGCCTGGCAGATGGCCGACTACCTCCCAGCCAGCACCAAAGTGGGGACCATAATTAATGGATACGGAGGGCACGGGCTTCTCCCCCTCTTCGGGGATTCTTACAATGCGATTCCAACTCAGTGCTGCTACAACCAACATCAACAACTTTCATCTAGACCCTAAGTAGACAAAGCCACACAGCAGGGAGGGGCAGGAAGCCACTAAGTATTGAGAGTCAACGGTCAAAATCTCCACTGCAGGCTGACCCGGCACAACCAGGAACGACGGGGCGTCTAGGGCCAAGAGAAGCCCATCCACATGACAGGAGCATGTCCCCGCTCCTATCCCATGGGCACCCTGGAGATGAAAATCCCGCTGCCCACGAAGTTATACCCTGCCAGGCCGCACTGAGTTTCTTTTCACCAGCCCACACGTCTGTGCTTTACAGGGTTCAGGGCCCCCAGAGAAGCCAACCAGCGACCTCCAGGAGAAGATCTGGAGGCTGAGGCCCATGTGGCCAGAGACAGGGCAGTAGCCTCTTGAGGGCCGGCACTGCAGGCAGCTCCTGTCTCATGCCTAACAGGAGCTTCTGGAGCCAAGTCTGGAAGACTAGCTGCCTCTGCCGAGGGGCCCTGAGGAGGTGGGCTCAGCCCCGGAGAGAAGCACCTCCACGAGCTGAGCAGCGCATCCCTGGAAGACACAGATCCCAAAGGGAGGCGACAGGAGGCCCAAAGCCAAGAGCTGGAGCATGTTCAGGGCAAGGTAAGGGACAGGACCTGGCCCTGTAGACAACAGCCCTTGTTTGGCACTGGTGGAGACCCCCCACCCCGGCCCTCAGGAAGGGAGAAGGGGCCACCCCAGACGAGCCTCAAAACCACCTGGCTTTGCTTGGGAAGCATCCCTTCACGGCATGGAAGCACTCCTGGGATAAGTGGGCGGCAGGCCTGGAAACTCCCACACGGGCCTTGGGGTTCCCCTGATGAGGCCCACGTGAAGCCTATAGGAACAAAGCTGGGGTCAGCGGCCAGAGCCCACACGTGTTGACTAGAGGCCAAAAGGAAGACACCTGGGGGCACCTAGTGACTCTGTGGTCCCTGCAAATCTGTCAGCCATGGCCAGAGGCCGTGGGCGTGGAAGCAGTGGGGGGGTGCGGTGCTCTGGAATGGCCCCTCCTTTCACCTGCCCTGCCACTGGATCAGCCCAAGCCTTACACAGACATGCGAAGCCAAGGCTGTGCAGAGGTGAGAGCGGCAGAGCCCCGTATCTGATCCTCTGGGGTCCTGGGTCAGGTACCGAGACAGAAGGGGCTGGGCTGTTGGGCAGACCCCCAAGCTCTGCTGGAGCAGGCGCTGCCCAGCACCCCAGTCCAGGCCCAGCAAGCCAGCAGAAGCAAAAACACAACCAAATCCAAAAAACGAACACGGGATTAATAGACACAAGAAGTGACACCCACAGGTCAAAGGTCACCAGAAGCACCAGCACGTGACGCGGCACAAGACCAGGCACAGACGACACCACGGCACCGGCAAGAGACGGAAGCAGGAAGGGCAAAGGAGTAAGTCACTTTCGGTACAATTGCAAAAGAGATAGCAAAGGGCGCCGGGACGCGCCCTGTGGTCGCTCACGGCTTGGCTTTTTTTTTTTTTTTTTTTTTTTTTTAAAACTAAGTTTTATAAATAACGTCTGATAACTCTGTGTATATAAAAACTAAACTCCAACAGCCACAAAGACTTGTCCATAAGTTTACAAGAAAGGGATTTTTTTTTGTTTGTTTGCTTTTTTCTTTTGTTAAACTAGCAAAGTTTCTATTATATTTTCCCTCCTCGTCCATATATACGGTCAAATGTTCTTGCTTGCTTTTTTTTTTTAAAAAGACAGTTTTATAAATACTCTGCAGCTCTTTTTTCTTTAGCTTTTAAACATATAATTTAATAACTTCGTAAAAGGAACTCCTCTCTTTTAAATAAAGGGCTATGTAACCACACAAATAGGTCATGTAAACAGTGACACGGGACCCATCGCAGGACACTGGACACACCCTTCACGTACGCTCACAACCTGTGATTTGGTCTTGTTCAGTGCAATGCGTTGGGCTTGAGCGCCGCGGCCCCTGGCCCAAAGCCAGGGAACGCGCCATCCCTCCCAGTGCCTGTAGCGCCCAGGCTGGTGGCCCGCCCATCCAGGGCCCTCGAGGACACTCGACTCGTCGGAGCAGAGCCCATCTACGCCCGTTGGCCGCACTGAACCACAGCCCGCTGCCAGCCAGCAGCTGTCAGGGCCTGGGGGCCACCCGGGAGCGGACAGCAGCCCCTCCTGCCCTGCAGCCCTCCCTGCTCCAACACGCAAGCCCCACGCGCTCATTCGATCTTTCTCTGTTCCCACAGGGCCAACTCTGGACGCCAAGCCTGCACGGCCTCGGTACAAGGGGGACTGGGGCAACCGCACGTCACCGCCGAACTGACCAATCCCAACGTACAAAACACGATGACAACGACGAGATCAAAGGGGCTCAGCCCAGCGCCCCTGGGGTGCAGGTTGTGCTTTGCAGGGAAGGGAGGAGGCAGGAGAGGAAGAAGAGGAGAGGAGAAAGAAGGGGACAGGGCTGCCAAACTCGCCATGCGCCTAATGGCCCCTTGCAGACCCGCCCGGGCAAGCGCGCGTCCCTACGACCGGGCGTCCGTCTTGGACTTTACTATCGTGATGACGCTGGTGGCAGCCACCTTGCCAGGGACGAGGGGCCCCAAGCCGGCAGCGAGGGGGCCCCGGGCCGGCGCCACGGGGCTGCGGGCCACGGTCCTGGCGAAGTTCTGCAGGGCCTCGTACTTGGAGCGCAGCGCGTCGAGCTCCAGCTTCATGCTCGCGTTCTCCGAGGCGAGCTTCTCCACCTCCTGCTGCAGCTCCGCCTTCTGCTTCTCCAGCTCCTCTTTCTGCGTCACCCGCTTGACGCGGCAGCTGGCGGCGTAGCCGCGGTTCTTGAGCGTGCGCCGCCGCTGCTTCAGCTGGATGATCTCCTCCTTGGACAAGCCCCGCAGGTGCTGGTTCAGCTCCCGCACTGACATGGTCACCAGCTCCTCATCAGTCAGGCTGGTGCCATTCTCGCCTGGCTCCCGCTTCACCTGCGGGTAGGACAGTGCATGAGGTCAAGGCTCGGGGGGGGGGGGGGACCCCCCACCTTGCGGCCTGCCGCCCGCCCCACCCCTCAAGGCGCCGCCCACTCCGGCCGCTCACCTTCAAGGCCTTGTTTCCTTTATTGGGGGTCGTCATAACCCGGGGGCACAGCAAGCAGGCACTCTGCGAGACAGGGAGCAGAGGTCAGGACCCTGGAGACCACTCCCCTCTCCCTCTACAGGCCACAAAGAGCCTGGGGAAGGGGACCAGCCCCCAGCCTCGCTTCTCATCTCACCATTCCCAATACCTGGCCCTGAGGACCACCTGCCACCCTTCGGCTAGGCTGCTCCCTGTCTGCCTTGTCCCTAGGGAACCCACTGGGTCTGATGGGGGAAGGGGAACAGAAGGGCTGTTAGAAAGGCAGAGACCAGAAAAGGGCCTTGGGAAGGGATGAGAGGGATGCAGGAAGGGCCAGCCTAGAAGGAAGCTGGGAGCTTTAAAAATAACCCCAGTGTGCGCCCCAGAGCATGGCTGTTCCTGGCGAGTCACGCTGACTCAGCACATTGCTCCCGCTCCCGCTCCCTCACCAGCCTGGCCTGGCACTCCCCAGGGCTGCCAGCCAACACAGCCCCAGGGGACCCACAGCCTAAACAGAGCACTGCTAGGGCCAGAAAGGCCGGCCTGGCCAACAGCAGGTGAGGGCTGGGGCCAGTGACCCTGCACCTGCGTACTCCAGGGCCCTACCTCCTATAGCCACCTCCCCTTAGCTGGCCCTGTCCCCACGAAGGCTTAGGGGCCAGTGGGGACGCAGGCCAAGAGGAGGATGCAGGAGAGTCCTGATTCTCCCACAAACTTTTCACTTTGAAGAGCTCAACTGTTTTCAGCATTGGTGAAGCACCCCCCAAGGCAGCAGGCACCCCAGCAGATGCCAGGCTCAGCCCACCTCCGTGGCTGATGGAGCAACCTTCCTGTGGCTTTGGATTGCAGCATTCTGTGCCCCTGCCCCACCCCATCCACGCTATTTCCTAAGAGTACCGGGTTGGCCACCCAGGGGGCCTGCTCAGCCCCCTCCAGTCCCCCCCCCCCCAGCCAGGGGTCACTGCCCACAGCGCAGGGAACAACAACAAAAGGGCTTGGGGAGGGGTGGACCAAAGGGCCCCCCTCACACCCATTCAGTTGCCCTTCCCACACTGGGCCCTCACTGTCTGCTTCCTCAAGCCCTGCCAAGGGCATTTCTGCGCACCTAATCCTGCAATTCTGACTCAGCCAGCCCCCACCAAACCCTTAGGCAAGGACACTCCCTTTCAGCCCCCTACTTTCCAGGTTAGGTGCAGAAAGGTAAATGGCTGGCTGGAGGAAAAGTCAGACCACGGCCTCCCTGCTGCAGGAGGTCATAAGCACTGCAGGCAATTCTGGGCTGGGGGGCCTTCTGACCCTCACTGGGGAGATAAAGCACGGGTTAGGGAGGTGGAGGTGCAAGGTGGCTCCAGGGTAGAGCCACCACTTCACCTAGCCTCGCCCCGGAAGGTGCCTCACCACAGCCAGCCAGGTCACCCAAGGCTCTCAGGCAGGCCCTGAGGCTGCAGTCCCACGGCTGTTCCCGAGCAGAGGATGGAGAAGATAGTAGCTGGAGGTCAGAAGATCCCCAGGGCCCCAAATGCACCCTGGGGGCCAGGATTTCGTGGCCGAGCTGGAGGGGCTCCCCCAGCCTCGAGTCTAAGTCGGGGTGCAGGGACACTCCCCTGGGTCCTTCCATTGTCAGCCCAAAGGAAAAGTCCTGGCACCAGCTCTGCCCACCAGCCATCCTCCCTCCTCCATCCCTGAATGCTGAGCACAACGGTGACTTCCTGAAGAGATCACACACAAAAGTGCCGAGCGTGGCGGCTGGGAGCTGAAAAGTGCCTCCTCGACAGATTTCACCCTCTGCAGAAGGCCTGAACTCAGCACAAGTGCAGCCACTCGCCTCCTAATCAAAGGTGTAGAGTGTGTGAGTGAGTGAGTGTGTGTGTGTGTGTGTGTGCGTGCGTGCGGGGGGGGGGGGGGGGGGGGGCTCAGCAGAGCCAGGGCTTCAGCCTCCTGACCTGGCCTCTGCCCACCTGGGAATACACACAGATGTGACAGTGATAGCCTTTGGTGATGGACTGTGAGAGATAGCTCAGGGCACCTCTAGAAGGCAGAAGCAGGGTATCCAGGAGGCAGGATTAAGGAAAAGCTTCCTGTTCTCGCAGTCCCAAAGACCGGTCCAGAGCTGGGGCCCAGTCATCCTTACCCGCTCACCTTCCCCAGAGGCTGAGCCACACTAGTAGAGAAAGCACGGACAGTCCCACGGGCCTGAAATCACCAAGGTACCCTGGGCCACCCCCTCAGGCTGACAGCCAGCTGGGAAGGGAAAAAAGGTTCAGACAGCTCCATCCCCTGTACCTGGGCCCAGACTCTAGGATGTAGACACTTGGCAAGAGACAAGACAGTCAGCCCCTGCTCCTTCTCCTGGCCTGCAAACTCTAGCGGCCAAACTTCCCAAACAGCGTAGCCCCAACCTAGCCTGACCTTCCTCCCACCCTGCCCTTCAGAACCACCTCCTGCAAAATCCCTCAGCCACTGAAAGCCATTCTGAAAAAAGTCGAAAACTTAATTTCCACCTAAGAATAAACGAGAAGACTTAAAGAAGTACCCCCCTTCAGGAATCTGCACTTTCCTAAGATATAAAATTCCAGCCAAAAGATCAGCTGAAGTGTTAAACATCTGGCATCTACAAGCCCAAGGCTAAGTATCTATGAGAGCGTGTGTGTGCTGGGGGGAAGGGGTGCCCCCAAAGGCAAACCACAAGGCCAGCCTGACCTAGCCACGAACCCCTAGGCAAGAATGGTCAGCTCTGGTCGAGACAAAACACCCTACTCCTGGAGTCCAGGAACCACCCACACATTCAGGAAAGGTAGCTCAGGCCACACCACCCTCAGGCTGTCACCCCCGAGAGGCCCGACACCCACCAGGGCCACAGTCCTTGCTAACACCCACACAGCACAGAGCCCCAACCTCAAGTGGGACAACTCTAGGGTGATCGCGAACTGCATTATTCTGCTCCATGCCTTCTATACCAGCCCACCAGCCATGCCCCAAAGGCCAGGCACCCTCAAAGCCACCGCCACCTACAGCTTTGCCCCATACCCCAAGGCCAGGCGGCAAAAGGGGCAGGGCCTGCTCACCAGACACCTCACTCCCCAGATGTCAAAGTCCTGCTGCTTCGGCTCATTGGCAGTTTCCTGGTAGAGCTGCACCTGCTTCACCTGCCCTGTCCACTGTCCTCCAGGACTTGAGTACTGGCACCCCTTTTTCTCCCACTGACTCCCTCTCTGGCCGGGGTGTATCCCTCTCTTCCCCGCCCAGGGGCTGCCCAGCCTAGCCAACCAGACCAGTCACAGGGAAAGCCGGCTTCCCAGTCTGGCAAGCACGGCCCCCCTAAGCTCCTCCCCTGCTCTCACTCAGAGAACTATTTCCCAGTTTGGGGAACTGTCCCAGACGCTGGTCAGGGACCCACTGCCTAAGAAGAGCATGCCTGGGAGGGGGCGGGCAGGCCAGGGGCTTCACATTCTGCCCGGAAAGAAAACCTGCACCAAGGCCCCTCCACCTTCTCCTCACCCACCCTGCCTTCAACTCACATACCAGCCCAACCTTGAACCGCTGCCCCAGTCCCTGGGCCTGGCCCCTTCCTCAGTTTCCCTCCTACTCTTATCTCCCGGCCTTTCCGACCCCAGGCCCCTAGCTCAAATCCCCCCGCCCCAGACATAAGAATGAGCATCGAGTGACCTCATGCTGATGACTCAGCAAGTCTCCTTCTGGGCTCTGGCACGCGTGTGTCGGAGCGAAGCCGGAGCGAGCAGGGTCTTCCGGGCCCCGCCACGTGCCGCCCCCTCCCCCCCCCACCGGCCCGCCGAGGACCCCTGCGCCCGGGGAGGCGGACACAGACACCTGATGAATCAGCAGCTAGAGCCGGGGCCCCGAGGCTCTTCCGCGGAGCCCTAGGCGCCCCGCTCGACCCCACCCTTTCCTCCCGCCACCACGGCCGCCCCTCCCACCAGGACGCCCGGGGCTCCGCCGAGAGAGCCCCGCGTACGCCCCGCCCCGCCCTCCTCCGTCCCCCGCGACCCACCCCCAGCATCCCCGGCGCAAGGGCCAGGAGCTGCTCCCGACCCGCGGGGAAACCGAGGCACGGGCCGCCAAGAGGGCGCAGGGCAAACCCAAAGCTAGGAGCGCGCGGCCCGCGTCCCCCCCACCCCGGCCCGCCAGGAGGAGCCGCGGCCCCGCCCGCCCCCACCCCGCGCCCAGAGCCCCCCTGCCTGCCGCCCGCCCGGCCCGCCGCCACACTCACCCACCACACTGCGGGCCCGGGCGGGCCGAGGCCGGGGCGGGCGGGCGGGCGCTCCGAGGCCGCGCGGGGGCTCCGGGCCCGGGGTGGGGGCTCGCCGCCTGCGCGGGCCGGGCCGAGCGC